GACGTTTCGCTCCTCATCCGAGGAGCTTTCTCAATTCAAAGAGCAGAGAGTGAGAGATACAGGTTATAAGACTGAGTGAGATAAGACACACATACACATAAGACACACACATAAGACACACACACACACATATATGTAGATTGGCAGTTCACACCTAAAAACCTAAACAGTAGGTCTTTGTTCCTCTAATTCACAGACGAGGCCCCTCTGTTCCCATCAGGTGTGAAAACCGGCTGGGGATCTGTTTTAAAGTTGCATTATATGTTTTTGAAAGTGGAAATCTGAGGCCTCCTCCTCTGTTAAGAGACGGCTTTTCTCTTTTTACATAAATTGCTTCCTTCACCCCCCTCTCAAACCATCTGTGTTCTCGGTATAGTAGTGTATAGATTAATGTAAGAATAGCATTTTATTTCAGTTTTAAGAGTTCTGTTTTATTATAACATTACAGTGTAAGAGTACACACTAGCTGTAGCAATAATAACCAACAGGGTGTCCAATACTTAAGAAACAGGTTTTACTCACTAGGAAGTAAGTCTGAAGCATTTAAAGGATCATTTAGGATAATCACATTGACATTTGAAAAGTGGAATAAATCAGAAGCCTACAAAACGACATTGCACTTGTATATATCGGTTTAACAAAAGTATCTTTCTCTTTCTTTGTTGTAATGTGTACAGATTCCAGAAAAGGGGGACGCCCCTAGCATCAAAACACAGATCCCTGAAGGAGATTTGGACAAAGGTTGAGGAGAAATGGGGTGATTCAGTATTTTTAAACACCACTGACTTGACTGACTGGACTGGACTTAAATAGTTTAATTGGGCTAATAAAAGGTTTCATGAACAAAGTATTTTAACCACATTTTGTCTCTCTCTCTCTTTTTCTTCCCTGCTCTTTCTTCCCCTCTCTAGCACAGACAGGTACCTGGAGGGAAGATTAAAGTCCTCTTGTTTCCACAGTGTATATGTCAGTTGTTTAAACTTTTAAGGTTATATTGTATTTTGATTGATGTTGTTGGCGCAAGCGATTTAATGAAGTTAATTCCACAGGCTCCAGGAGGAGGGAGGCCGGCGTGGGGGATTGCTTATTGCAGGGTGTTGTTGTGCATTGTTGTTGGGTATGTTTAACTTTACTAATTGTATGTAGACCTGTTGACTGCAAAGGCTTGGAAGGGTGAAAGACGGGACGAGAGTACACAGGTATCCCTGGAGAAGTCCAGTATGTACCTCATTTCAGTTTCAAGTGTATAGATGAATGTAAGAATAGCATTTTATTTCAGTTTTACAAGTTCTGTTTTATTATAACATTACAGTGTAAGAGTACACACTAGCTGTAGCAATAATGACCATCAGGGTGTCCAATACTTAAGAAACAGGTTTTACTCACTAGGAAGTAACAACAGTCAGTTTTTTGACCAGGCCCACAAATGGGTCATGGATCCCACAGATAAAATAAGCAAAAGGCCATGCAGGGTGTTTAACAATTTGCAAGCTTTGGTGTCCAGCTTTTCTCATCAGGAGGGAGAATCTCTGACCGAGGAGATTGACTACGGACCATCACACCGGACTGGGTCCTGCTGAAAAGAGGGATAGGACGCCACCAGGTGGTGGAGAGAACATCACACGCCATCGTTCTCCAGAAGGAGAGGGACACCTGTTACGACCACAACCAGTGCGCACCTGCAGAGGAGCTGAATCGATCGCTGGACCAGATGGAGGCTGATCTGCTGGAAACATCAGGAGGACAGCTCCCCGCTACACCTGGAGGAGGTGACAGGACCTTCGTGGGAGCTCACTCTTTGCCCCTTTGTTCTGGTTGGAAAAAGGCAGTAGCAAACATTGGAGAAGGAGTCTCCGCTCTGCCTAAGTCGGTCAGTCAGGTGGAACGGGTAAGGACGGAAGATTACCAGCCCTGACCGTGAAGAACAGAAGATGCGTCAAACTGATTTTAGTTTTGTCCCAATGAACACACACGTCATTTAGAATGTCTGATCAGACTGATAAAGGTTCTGAGGACTTTACATGAAGATATCTCCGCGGGCCGAATCCCGCCGAGCACCAAAAGGACCCTTGTGGACGAACAAGGGCTCCCACCGCAAGCTCAAGAACCGAAGACCTGCTAGATAGTCCTGTTTAAATTGAGTGTGTTGTCTTTTCCTGTTTAATATGAGTGTCTTGTCTTTCCTTTCAGTCATTCTGAAAAACAACCAGAGAAGGGTCGTGGATTAAATTGGAAACTCTTAACTATTCAAAATTTTACTCCATTCAATTGGGCATGTCATCATTCTAAAATACCACGAGGTATTTTAAAGGTGGTTTAACAGGAGGTCAATTTTGGTATTAGGATAGAGTTTTACTTATTCTAGTGTGTTGGGCATTTATATTTTACTAGGAGTGTTGTAGTTTTTTGTATTTTTATAAAGGTTTATGTATTTGGTATTTTTTACAGGTTTTGAAGGGTTTGAACCAGGGGTCTGGTCCAGGACCCCTGGAGGGTTGTAGTAAGTTTGGGTCACTTCCATATGGACAAATCCAAAAAGGGGTGATCTCCCATGAATATGGGGAGATCAAAAGAGGGATTGTTGGATTTAATGTTTTATCTTTTATTATTTTTGTCAAGCTTGAAATTTCATGTTATATCATGTGTGTGTGTGTCGTTTTTTTATAAGGGTTTCCTCACAATCTTTTAAATGTTAATCAATTAATTTGCATGAGTATCCACTTTATATATATATAATCTTACACTAGTTAGGGTCAATCTTATAGATTTACAATCTTAGAAATTTACATTTTGATATATTTACAAGCGAATCACAACGGGCCCAATGTCAGGTAAGATACTGTTTAACTACAGCAGGAGAAGTCTGCTTGCTCACTGGGAGAGTCAGCCCCCACTAAATGTTTAACACACACCCACACACAGAGGGACTGATTAACATAAAATAATCTAGAACACATCTCTCTAACTTAGACTTAATATAGTTTGACTAAGTAGAATTAGTATCATAATAACAATTAGCAGGTAACCGTACAACCATTATTTGATGAGGGGGCCAGTTTAGAGGAATACAGGCTTAATCTTCATAGTAAAATACCAGAGAGTCTTTGTTAGAGGGAGGCAGGGAGACTTCATAAGCCAGAGAGATCAATAAAAACCACACAGACATGAGTTAGTTAATAATTAATAGTTATTAATTATTCCTAGAAAGAAACTAACTTTAGAACAGAATCATTTGGTATCACTAAGGTATAATTAGGTTAAAATGAAAACAGAGCTAAAACAAAGAACCAATTTCAGTAAGTCATAAAAACTCCTCTCTTATCTAAAGAATGTTGAAAGTCCCTGACAGAGCAGAGTAACCATGGCAACCTTTTCGGCTAAACCAATCAGAGGCAGAGCCTGCTCAAAACTGTGATAAAGATCCAGGGACAGACTGCAGAACTTAGCATTTGCTGGGTGAACTCATCTGATCAGGTCGGTTTTGGTAAATGCTCCTGTATGCATACATGTAATTGATTTTATGAACTCTGAATACTTGTAATTTGTTGTCCAATAAATCTTTTGAACTAAGGTGGCCCGTATCAGCTGTTTTGAACACCATTAGTGGCCTCCAGCCACAACAGTGATCAACTGCCGCAGAGGCTGCACTGCCTGTTTGTGTGTTTTCACAGTAGGTGTCGCTGTTTCAGTTCTTCAAAATTTAACAAGGTTAACGCCTGAACACCATTACTTTTGTTTGCTTCTCCAGATTATAGCAAAGGCGTGTATCCGTTTACCTTTAATTTTTTCAAAAACTCGTGATAGTCTCTCTGTGAATGTCAGTCTTACTGAAATGTGATAAATGTAACTCAAGAAATGTTAAAATATGAATATCTTGCATTTTGCATTGAGTATGTCATGCAGTCATTGCAACCTTAATAAATGTCTTTACTGTCAAAAATCAACATTTCTTCTTCAAAAACAAAAACATTTTCACTTCATTTTCAGGATTCTGCGGTCTACATTCATCTCCAGGTCAGCGGTCACTCTTTCAGGGATGAAGATGTTCACATCCTGGACAGAGAGGAACGATGGTTTGAGAGAGGAGTAAAGGAGGCCATCTTTGTGAAAAGAAACCGTCCATCATTAAACAGGGGTGGAGCCTCCGGGTTCAACTGTCCCCCTCTTACAATGCTGTGATTGCTAGTATCACTCAGCCCTCTGTGAACAGTAAACAGCCATCAGGTGCTAATGATCCATTGTTAGGCTGATGGTCCTTCTTGAGCATGTGATCAGCTGGTTTTGGTTGTCAGCAGCAAACTGGTTGATCCACTCTGAGAAGGTGCTATTTAAGAGACTGAGCTGAATACAGCATCTCAGACTGAGGAAGTCTTTCAGATGGAAGACGAAACGTTTCTACATTTTATTTCATTTTTTTGTTTGTTTTGTTTTGTTTTTTCAATGTCCAGAGGACCAGACTTAACTTTTTTTTTTTTTTTAGATTTTTCTACCTGGGTTATTGAGCATGCATCAGAACACACAAACCTCCACCACATCGTTGTAATCAATAATTTAAAAATGAAACACTTTGTGCTGTGCTCTCTAAAATAGTTATTTAATTAACTGCTTACATATGTAGGTAACCATACCATTTAACAACACTTTAAAATACACCAAAAGGCAGAAAATGTCAACTATTTTATTCAAATTTTTGGAGGGAGACACTCCAGAACAGAAAAAGAGTCCCACTTTGGCTACGACTTATTTATATATATATAATATATATATATGCATTTATATATATATATATATGCATATAATATATATATATATATATATGCATTTATATATATATGCATATATTATATATATGCATATATAATATATATATGCATATATATATACACATACACATATATCTATATCTATATCTAATATATATATATATATCCAGATGTTGTTTCCTTGCTCTCTTTATGACTGTTTCTTTGAAGCTTCAAATAAAATCATAGAGACAATTCTTGGTTTTAGAATTTTTTTTCATGTTTTTTCAAGCAATTTTTCCACAACAGTAAACTGGATTCTTCACAAATGCCTATCTGCTGCTCCTCTTCTGCTCTTCATGCTCACCCTCCAACACCTCCTGGTCCTCCCTCCAACATTCTAAGCATTCTGGATAATATGGACTCTGGAATCTTCTGGATCTTCTTCAGCTCGTTCTTCACAAAAGTGAACATGTTGTCCTCAAGCAGCTGTAACACAATAACATCTGAATGACACATCAGACTGAAATCAAGGAGTCATACAGCAGATCCATGTTCGACTGGCTGACAGTCCACTGATCTACAAGTTAGACTGATGGACCGTCCACTGGTCTACATGCTGGACAAACTGAAAGTCCACTGGTCTACAAGTTAGACTGATGGACAGTCCACTGGTCTACATGCTGGACTGGCTGATAGTCCACTGGTCTACAAGTTAGACTGATGGACAGTCCACTGGTCTACATTTTGGACAGATTGACAGTCCACTGGTCTACATGTTGGACAGACTGACAGTCCACTGGTCTACAAGTTAGACTGACGGACAGTCCACTGGACTACATGCTGGATAGACTGACAGTCCACTGGTCTACATGTTGGACAGACTGACAGTCCACTGGTCAACATGTTGGACAGATCGACAGTCCACTGGTCTACATGTTGGACAGACTGACAGTCCACTGGTC